TTGGTAATTGGTGCCAGAATGGTCAAGAAGAGGCACACATTTTATATAATACCCACACCTAAAAGATTATTTTCCAAAGGGAGAAAGAATTATTAGCAAATTCAGGGTTTTGTGAAAACTTGAAAAGGTTTCACTTGTCTTTCCCAAGCATTGGTTTGTGAGCCCAGGCCTCTTTTCTTCAGCTCACACAGAGCTTGGGCATTTATCTGTTCATCACTTTAATGTTAGCAACTACCTGGGTTTGTTGGAGGTTTACCAAAATTAGTATTTGCAAAGTGTTCACATGGTGCCAGGCACATGGTAAGCACAGTAGGTGTTACTGGTCATCGTTGTTAAGTCATGGTGAGCCACTTTAGAACCCTGATACAGAAATACAACATGGCTCTTTCTATCTCTTCCCATCTCTGCAATGATACCAGAGCTTAAGAAATGGTCTGGTGGCCCAAGTAGGGTTCACGCAGCTTCCCAGCCTGAGAGGAATAAAAGGAGCTCTCAGTCAAGTTGCTCATGGAGATGGGGCAGCGCCAGGGTCAGAGGAAGCACATGACCATCGTCCAAGAGCCTCCCCGAGCAGCCCAGCGCAGCACTGCTGAGGCTGCATCAGGAGGCACAGAGCTGTGGTGACTGTCCATGCATCTGTCCGGACATTCTGCTCCAGCCCCGATAAATGCCTGTTGACTGAAGGAGTGAATGAGGTGGGTGAGTCTCACACACACACACACACACACACACACACACACACACACACACACAGAGCCTCCATGTCCCATTTCTGAAATAAAAAGAATGAGCTTCAATAATTTTCAGAAAGCATTCCTGTGCTTTATTATTTTTTGAAAGGATCAATCATCTTCCAGAGGAAAGATTATTCAGAAATAATAGGGGATTTGTGTTGGTCACACAAGCAAACTAAAACAAATCCTATCCCAGGTGCCTTCTCCTTTAGCTTTTAGACTTTAGGGGGCGCACATGACAAGTGATATATTAGAGAAAACAGTTTTATTTTGGGTCAGTTCCTCCGGAACAGATCTGAGGTAGAGGGTTACTTGTAGGAAGTAGGTTGTGGTGTGGTCTCAGGTTCTATACCCAAGGGGAGTGAAGAAAGCAAGATGGAAAGAGAGGAGGGGTTGAACTGCCTTGTAGTCATGACAAAGGCCTCCATCAATCCCATGAAGAGAAGAGCTCAGGGGTGGTTTTTCAGAGGGGTCCCAGCTTGAGGCCAGTGGGCAGTGCCTTCACATCTCCCTGCCCCATTGATCAGTCACTGGATCTGGCCGCCCCTGAGGAGGAGGGGGCATGGCCCTAAGGGAGGTGGCTCTCTGTGGTTGGGGATAGTCCCCAGAGAGGGACAAAGCCCCCTATATCATAGGGGGAGTGAGAACCTCAGTCCTTGCATTAGTTCATTATCTGTTGCTGAGTAATAAACTACCACTCACTTAGCATTTTAAAACAACAAACTTTTATTATCTCCCAATTTCCATGCATCTGTGGCCTTGGGCCTGTCTTAATGGGGTCCTCTGGTTTGGGTCCCACAGGCTGCAATCAATATTGAGTAGGTTTTGATTTCATCTGGAGTCCCAGTGAGAATAATCCATTCAAGATCATTTGGAGTCAGAACTCATGTCCTTATGGCTGTATGACTGTGGGCCTGGCTTTATTATTTTTTTTAAATAAATCTTTATTGTTCAGATTATTACAGTTGTTCCTCTTTTTCTCCTCATAGCTCCCCTCAACCGGTTCCCACCTCACCCCCTGCCCTTACCCCCCGCCTCACTGTCCTCATCCATATGTGTACAATTTTTGTCCAGTCTCTTCCCACAGCCCTCATACCCCCTTCCCCTTGAGAATTATCAGTCCACTCCCTTTCTGTGCCCCTGATTAAATTCTATTCACCAGTTTATTCTATTCATCAGATTTTTTATTCACTTGATTTTTAGGTTCACTTGTTGATAGATATGTATTTGTTGTCACTTTGTTGTTCATAATTTTTATCTTTACCTTATTCTTCTTCTTCCTCTTTTTAAAGAATACCCTTCAGCATTTCATATAATACTGCTTTGGCCATGATGAACTCCTTTAGCTTTTTCTTATCTGTGAAGCTCTTTATCTGCCCTTCAATTCTAAATGATAGCTTTGCTGGGTTGAGTAATCTTGGTTGTAGGTTCTTGGTATTCATCACTTTGAAAATTTCTTGCCACTCCTTTCTGGCCTGCATAGATTCTGTTGAGAAATCAGCTGACAGTCGTATGGGTACTCCCTTGTAGGTAACTAACTGTTTTCCTCTTGCTGCCTTTAAGATTCTCTTTTTGTCTTTTGCCCTTGCCATTTTAATTATGATGTGTCTTGGTGTGGTCCTCTTTGGGTTCCTTTTGTTTGGGGTTCTTTGTGCTTCCTGGACTTGTAAGTCTATTTCTTTCACCAGGTAGGGAAAGTTTTCTGTCATTATTTCTTCAAATAAGTTTTCATTATCTTGCTCTCTCTCTTCTTCTGGCACCCCTATAATTAGGATGTTGGTACACTTGCAGTTGTCCCAGAGGCTCCTTGCACTATCTTCATATTTTTGTATTCTTTTTTCCTTTTGCTTTTCCAGTTGGGTGTTTTTTGCTTCTTCATATTTTAAATCTTTTACTTGATTCTTGGGATCCTCTATTCTGCTGTTGGATCTCTGTATATTATTCTTTATTTCAGTCAGTGTATGCTTAATTTCTAATTGGTCCTTTTTCATATCCTTGAGGGTCTCACTATATTTCTCAGAGGTTTCTAGAAGATTCTTGAGTAACCTTAGAAGTGTGGTATTGAACTTTATATCCAGTAGTTTGTTTTCCTCCATTTTTTTCATTTGTGACATGTTTCTTTGTCTCCACATTTTGGCTGCTTCCCTGTGTTGATAGAGTGGCTTTCTGTGCTAGGTGTTCTATAGGGCCCAGTGGCTCAGCCTCCCCAATTACCTGAGGTGGACATTCTTGGTGCACCCTTTTGTGGGCTGCATGCACAGTCTTGTTATAGTTAAGCCTTGATTTCTGTTGTTATCACTGGGAGGAATTGACCTCTAGGCCAATTGGCTGTGAGAATCAGCTGTGTCTACAATGGGAGAACTTTTGTGCTGGAGACACCCTTATGGGGCAGGACTTGCTTCAGTGGGGTTTTGGTACTCACTGAGTCTGCCCCCTGAGTGTGTCTCTTATGGATGTGAAGAGTTGTAATCTGGATGGTCTCCACTCTGACCAGTGGTTACACTGGTTCTTGGATCTCCAAGGAGGTGCAAAGTCAGCCACTGCCTGAGGCCACCCAGCAGGAACTACAGAGAGATCTGCAGATTCCTCCTCTTTGTTTGGGGTTTGGAGATGCCCAGATGAGGCGCAGCTGTGAAGCAATGCTGGCTGCTGATGAGCTTTAGGCCTTCTTTTGGAAGCTCTGGGGTTCTCTGACCCAGCTGCAGTTTGACAGGTTTTTAGGCTGAGAAAGGCCAGGCCATTTGTATGCAAAAGCCTCTGCACACAGCTTAGGTGGGATTGTAAATTGGGTAGAGCGGGTTCTCAGGGAATCACCAGGGTGGAGCAAAGAGCAATGGTTGCCTGTCGGCCCTCCCCCAGATAGGTCCCTGCATCTCTGTGACCCACAGCACCATGCAGGAATAATGACTGCTGCAAGCACCTCTGTGAGAAAGCTGCCCTCACATTCCAGCCTGATGCCAGACAGTCCAGTTTCTCTCTGTATGAGTCTGGGTCCCCAGATTCTCATCCGGAACTGAAGTTCAGAGCAGTGAGGAGCTTGTATCTCCCTCCCGATTGAAAAAGACAACTGTGTACCCAGCTGCCAGCCCCTTTCAGGTGTGCCTCCATACCTCCACACTTCCACACCTCTGCACCTCCTAGCAGACTCAATGCGCTTTTGTTTTTCCTTCTAGTTGTGGAATTTCCACTCAGCCAGCCTTCCTGTGGTTCTGGATGATATCCATTTTGTCTTTTAGTTGTGTTTTAATGTGGTTGTGCGTGGCAGCAAGTTCAGGTGTTTACCTATGCCGCCATCTTGGTTCCTTGGGCCTGGCTTTTTACTAGCTGTTCCTAGGGACCACTCTCAGGTCCTAGATGTCAGCCATAGTTCCTAGAGGTCATCCATTTTTTCTTGCTACATGGGCTTCCTCAACATAGCTGATGACTTCATGATGCCCGCAAGAAAGTCTGTCACCTCAGAGAGACCCAGCGTCTCTTTCAAGGGCACTCACCTGATTAACCCAGCTCACCCTTTTGATGAAACCCCAAATCAACTGATTTGGAACCTTGATTATATATCAAAATGTCATTACTTTTGCTTTATTCTATGGGCTAGAAACAAGTCACATGGCCCACCCACACCCCAAGGGAGGGAATTATATAGGGCATGAACATAAGGGGGGGAATTATAGGGGCCATCCTAAAGCCTGCCTGTCACAGTCCTGATGGGGAAATGTGGATGATGTGCTATACATCCACTATAGTTACTCAAAACAAAATTTGGTAAACAAGATTCTCCTAGTGCCAAGTGGGTGGGCTGACCCATTTTGCAAGCACCTTTAACTCTTTGGGTATAACAGAGCAGTACCAAGGCCCCCATAGCAGCAGGGAAAAATACTATATAAATTTGTAACTATCAACAGGAAAGTTGCAACTGGGACCTCATAAATGCCTGTTGACTAAAATTTGTTGAGATTGAGAGCTATGCTTTATGCTGCAAGGGAGTCATTAGTCTCTCCAATCTGCATCTTCTGCTGAATGTCTAACCACTTGTAAGTGGCCAGACTGTCAAGGAAAATAGTGGCTAAGTGCTTCCTTTTCCAGTGAAAATGACAAGGGAACTCAGAAAAAAATCTACCTTAGACTATATAAATTTACTTTTATTTTTTTTAATGTATATGCAGGTTTCACTTAAAACTTTACCTTTAAAAATAGAAACAAAAGAGAGGGAAATATAAAAATTGATCTGAAGATGCAAGAAAGACCCGGCAGAGAGATCAGTTCCGGCGGGTGACGGTGCGGACGGGTCAGAAGCGTAGAGGCGGCGGCAAAATGGCGGCGCCTGAGGAACAGGATCTAACCCAGGAGCAGACAGAGAAGCTGCTGCAGTTTCAGGATTTGACTGGCATAGAATCTATGGATCAATGTCGACATACCTTGGAACAGCATAAATGGAACATAGAGGCTGCTGTACAGGACAGATTGAATGAGCAAGAGGGTGTACCAAGTGTTTTCAACCCACCTCCATCACGACTCCTGCAGGTGAACACAGCCGACCACAGGATCTACAGCTATGTTGTCTCAAGACCGCAACCAAGGGGGCTGCTCGGATGGGGTTATTACTTGATAATGCTTCCATTCCGGTTTACCTATTACACAATACTTGATATATTTAGGTTTGCTCTTCGTTTTATACGGCCTGACCCTCGCAGCCGGGTCACTGACCCCGTTGGGGACATTGTTTCATTTATGCACTCTTTTGAAGAAAAATATGGGAGGGCACACCCTGTCTTCTACCAGGGAACGTACAGCCAGGCACTGAATGATGCCAAGCGGGAGCTTCGCTTTCTCTTGGTTTATCTTCATGGAGATGATCACCAGGACTCTAATGAATTCTGTCGCAACACCCTCTGTGCCCCTGAAGTTATTTCACTAATAAACACTAGGATGCTCTTCTGGGCGTGCTCCACAAATAAGCCTGAGGGCTACAGGGTTTCACAGGCTTTACGAGAGAACACCTATCCATTCCTGGCCATGATTATGCTGAAGGATCGGAGGATGACTGTGGTGGGACGGCTAGAAGGCCTCATTCAACCTGATGACCTCATTAATCAGCTGACATTTATCATAGATGCAAACCAGACTTACCTGGTGTCAGAACGCCTAGAAAGGGAAGAACGAAATCAGACCCAGGTGCTGAGGCAACAGCAGGATGAGGCCTACCTGGCCTCTCTCAGGGCTGACCAGGAAAAAGAAAGAAAGAAACGCGAGGAGCGAGAGCGGAAGCGGCGGAAGGAGGAGGAAGTGAAACAGCAAAAGCTGGCAGAGGAGAGGCGGCGGCAGAATTTACAGGAGGAAAAGGAAAGGAAGTTGGAGCGCCTGCCCCCTGAGCCTTCCCCCGATGACCCTGAAAGCGTCAAGATTATTTTCAAATTACCCAATGATTCTCGAGTAGAGAGACGATTCCACTTCTCACAGTCGTTAACAGTTATCCACGACTTCTTATTCTCCTTGAAAGAAAGCCCTGAAAAGTTTCAGATCGAAGCCAACTTTCCCCGGCGGGTGCTGCCTTGCATCCCTTCAGAGGAGTGGCCCAACCCGCCGACGCTGCAGGAGGCCGGACTCAGCCATACAGAAGTTCTCTTTGTTCAGGACCTAACAGACGAATGACACCTTTTCTTCTTCTCCCTTCCCACCCCAACTCCTAAAAGAAATGGAAAAGAAACAAAAAAAAAAAAAAAAAAATTCACATTATTATTATTATAATACAATATTTTTTTAAAGACTGCTGCATCCTAAGGAAGGATCAGAAACCATGCTGCCTGCAAGAGTCACCACCTGTGTGCGCGCGAGGTTAGTGATGAACGTTCCGCCGGCAGCCACCTTCCCCTACTGCCTTCGCACCACACACCTTCCAGTGAGAGGAGGCTCTTCACCTCCACCCCCGCCATTGTCCCAGCGGGGAAGGGGACATTCCCACTAGTTCTCATTCATTCTTGCTTTTATGGAAAATAAAAGTGACAAACCTCCATCAACCAGCTACTGCAGCATCTCTAAGGACTTGTTTTCCTGCCTCCAGGGAAGAGAAGGCACAGAGCAGAGATGTTCTTTAACTTCCCACAATTTATGAATAACTTCTACTTTTTTTTTTAGTTGCTTTGTAATGACCAAAGGAATGAGGCTGACATGGGTGTATTTTTCCCCCCTTTATTTGATAACGCGCCAATTTTTAAACCCATGACATGATTCATCCCCTGGGCTTAGCCCACAAGAGTATAATAAAGATGCCCTGGGCTGGTTTGTGCTTATTTCTGCCATTGCCCTCGAGTTCCCAGAAAAAAAAAGAAAAAAAAAAAAAAAAAAGGCCCGGCAGAACCCCAAACTACCAATGAGAGTCATGGGCCCTGCAGTTTGGTGTAGAGCCCATCCCCGCCTGCAGCCTGTGTGGCCCATTGACAGATCGAAATGGAGAAACTTGTTTCAAACAAGAAGGGAACTATCTTCTTAATTCTTTATGTAGCTTATTGTCAGTTAATGTTTCAAGGTGAGTACAAAACCTACTCACCCTCATTTTATAGAACAAAAACTACCTTTGCCCTGGTGTGGTTTGGAAGCATATGTGAAGAGGCCACACTGTACAGCGGGGTCAGTGCTCTGAGGGAGACCATGGTGCTCCCCACCCTCCCCGGCCACGGAGGGCTTCCCAGCGTAGAGTCAAGCTGACCTGACATGCTGTCTTTCCCCCATGAGGCTCTGGGGGAGAAGTATGCCAGCACAAAGGAAAAAGCAACAGAAACAGAAGGGGAAGCCTGAGACTCCTACTCTGCAGTTTTGCCTGAGGCCAAACTGCTTCAACTCTTGTAGGCAGAGAACCTACAAGCTGAAAAATCACTGTATGTCTTATGTGGAAAAGGATGGCTTTTGGCCAGTTCAACTCACATACAGAGATGGGAACAAGATAGCTAGACAGACTTGGCCGAGACATCTCCCAAGAAGCCCTGCTTAGGAGCATGAGTTAGCTTCCTTCCTTATGTTGAAGGCAATTTATCCCATGCATGCTTTCTAACAGGTCAGATTTCTTCTTTGATGGGTTTTGAAAAATCAAGCCCAAGCCCTTCGAAGCTAAGGCTTAGTAAGTCCTCTCCCCCTTGCCTCCCAATCATATTAGTCCTCTCATTAATTGTCTTCACTCCCTCACTGAAACCTGGCCCATCTGAGAGTTAGCACACATAATTAGGGTGACCATATAATTTATCACCGGAAGTGGGGCACGTTAAAGAGTGAAAGGAGCGTGAATAGTAATTACTCCAGACAACAGGCACACGCTGGGGCCCATGATGAACTCATCCCCATTAACACAAATAAGCTGCAGAGTGGAAGCAGAACTTTCCCAGACTCCTCAGCAGCTCCCATCTCTGGGTCGCATGCTCCCTTCCTGCTGGAATTACCTCGGAGTGTTTCATCCAATGTCAAAAAGAGTGACTGTGCAGGACTTCTGATGCCCCAAGTGTAAGGAAGGCATGTTCCCCTTACAATGTGAAATACTGAGAGAGGAGCAGATCAACATTAAGCTTGTTAAATGCCAAGATTTTAAGGAATTCTGGAATATTTGTTTATAGAAAGTTCACATTACTCCCTCAAAAAACCCTCCTGTCCCAGTCAGAACTGAGAAAATAGGACTTTACAGAGACAGCTCTGTGGCTGCTAGATTCTGTGTGTAGGGATTAGACTGAGAGCCCTGAGGTTGGCAGTGAAAACTTACACTGACAAGTCACCCATCTGTAGAAATAACACAGTCTAAAATCCTATATAATAAAAGGCTAATATGCAAATAGACCGAATGGCAGAACGACCAGTCACTATGATGTGCACTGACCACCAGGGGGAAGACACTCAATGCAAGAGCTGCCCCCTGGGGGTCAGTGCACTCCCACAGGGGGAGGGCCACTCAGCCAGAAGCCAGGCTCACGGCTGGTGAGTGCAGCAGCAGTGGCAGGAGCCTCTCCCGCCTCCACAGCAGTGCTAAGGACCCCTCAGGGGCTGTCCGATGGAGCGGGCCTAAGCGAGCAGTTGGACATCCCCTGAGGGGTCCGAGACTGTGAGAGGGTGCAGGCTGGGCTGAAGGACCACCCCCAGTGCACAAATATCGTGCACCATGCCTCTAGTATGATTATAAAATGTGTGTGACTGAGGAGGCCTAGGCAACATTCAAACATAACTGGAGGACCAAGGGATATCTTCTGTGTGAAATAGAATGGATCAAAAGGAAAGTGGTAGCCCAATCAGTTCAATTAAAATATCTGAAGACAGACTGTCTTAACCAAAGAAGATGGTCTGCATAGTCTGAGAGAGAATCCAATGACCGTGCACCTGAGGTGCTCATCAAGCCCAGGTGAAGGGAAGACTAACCCTTTCAGACAGGGGCACAATGGCTACAAAAGTGGGTTTCTTTGTTAAGAAGCAAGGAAAGCCCCTTAAATTTTGACACGGCTTGAGTGAAAGGAACCACCTAAACCCTCCAAAACTCTTCTCAACAACCCACTTCCCTTTCTTCTAACTCTATTTATCAAGAAAACTTCTGAATGGCCCTACATTTAGACAAACATTCTCTAAGCCTCTGAATACATGAATTACTCATCAGCAGTGCTTTGTTGATGCATTTCCTCACCAACAGTCATATCCAGAATCCAGAATTCTCCTAAAACATTAAGAAGATTAAAGATGACAGTTTTAAGATCTAACAGTTTGCATATAAAATCTCACAGAGAAATTCTCACATTAATTTAAATTAGTAGAATGCAAAGAAAGTAGAAACATAAACACTGAGAATGTAATGTTACCAAACTTAAAATATAAGCATTCAACCAAATTTTCCAGTCCTTGGAGAACCCAGTTGGTAGGGTCTGGATAATGTCCAACAAATGAGCTGCTAGTACAGTGACCAGACAAGATTCACAAGGCATCAATGAAATGGCGAAATCTTCCTGGTTCAAGAACTGACTCCCAATGTATCAGGTCTATCAACTGTATTTAAGTTGAATGGGCTCAAGGAGCATCTGACTCACATTAACCAAACTTAAGGGAAAACAACATGCAAGTCAGAATGATTTCTCATTGTTAAGGAGCGGTTCATCTTTCCAGTGACTAGAACTGTGTCCTGCCCTGTCCTGTCAGTGTTGTGTGAAGCCACTTTTTCTATTTTGGGACAAAGTCCATGCATTATTGCTTCTATCCCCTAGAGAGTAACAAAGTTTAATCTCTCTTCAGGTTTAGTCTTTCAGGTTTTTTGCAACCAATTCTTGTGTACCTCCTATAGTGTTTCTTCTCCTAGCTAAATATTCTGTTTTTCAACCCTTCCTTGTTTTATCGGCTGTCTGGGCTTTTTCTAGATTCACTCCATTTCTCATTGTCTGTTTGAAAATGCGATTCTCAAAACTAAACATGGCATTCAGATGGTCTGACCAGTAATGAATGAAGGACAACTGCTGGTCTCTTGATTGGTCCAATTAAGATAGCTTAAAGCCACATGATTCAGAACTGCCATCAAGTCAACTAAGAACTCCATCTGCTTTTGTGTGTATGTGATTTTGTTGTTGTTGGAATTCAGCCTTTTAATTTTAAAGTAATTGTAGATTTGCATGCAGTGGTAAGAAATAATAGGGTTTCTGTGTAACCTTTACCTAGTTTCCTCCAGTGGTAACTTCTTACAAAACTGTAGTGCAACATCACAACCAGGATATTGATTGATACATTGATACAGTCAGCTACAGAACATTTCCATCACCATAAAGCCCCTCATTTGCCCTTTTATAGCCACATCTATTTCCCTCTAGCCCAGTCGTGGGCAAACTACGGCCTGCAGGCCGGATCTGGCCCTTTTGAAATGAATAAAACTAAAAGAAAAAAAAAGACCGTACCCTTTTATGTAATGACTAGAGGCCCGGTGCACAAAAGTTTGTGCACTCAGGGGGAAGGGGGGGGGTCCCTCAGCCTGGCCTGTGCCCTCTCGCAGTCTGGGACCCCTCAGGAGATAACGACCTGCTGGCTTAGGACTGCTCCCGGGTGGCAGAGGGCAGGCCCAATCCCTAGGTGCAGCCCCTGGTCAGGCTCAGAGCAGGGCCGATTGGGGAGTTGGGGCACCGCCCCCTGTCATGTACAGAGCAGGGTGGATCAGGAGGTTGCGATGCCACCCCCAGTCACGCTCAGGGTAGGGCCGATTGGGGGCTTTGGGCAACGCCCCCTGTCACACTCAAGGCAGGGTCTATGGGGAGGTTGCGGCACCACCCCCTGTCATGCACAGAGCAGGGCCAATCTGGGGGTTGGGGCGCTGCCCCCTGTCACGCACAGAGCAGGGTCCATCAGGGGGTTGAGGAGCTCCCACCTGTCACTCAGAGAGTAGGGCCGATAGGGGAGTTGGGGCACCGCCCCCTGTCACACACAGAGCAGGGCCGATCAGGGGGTTGGGACGCTGCCACTCTCACACTCAGGGCAGGGACGATGGGGAGGTTATGGCTCTACCCTGTCACATACAGAGCAGGGCCCGTGGGGGCGGGGGGGAGTTGGGGCACCGCACCCTGTCACACACAGAGCCGCAGGGCGATCAGGGGGTTTGGGCGCTGCCCCCTGTCACGCTGATCCCAGTGCCAGGAGGCCTCTTGGCTCCGCTGATCCCGGTGCTGGGAGGCATATTACCCTTTTACTATATAGAATAGAGGCCTGGTGCATGGGTGGGGCCAGCTGGTTTGCCCTGAAGGGTGTCCTGGATCAGGGTGGGGGTCCCCACTGGGGTGCCTGGCCAGCCTGGGTGAGGGGATGATGGCTGTTTGCAGCTGGTCACACACCCTTCAGGGTGGGGGTCCCCGCTGGGGTGCCTGGCCAGCCTGGGTGAGGGGCTGAGGGCTGTTTTCAGGCTGGCGGGTGACAGAAGCTCCCAACTGCTCCTTTTTTTCTTTTTCTTTTTTAATTCTGGGCCAGCTTTAGCTCTGAGGCTCCAGCTCTTAGGCCTCTGCTGGTAAAAGTAGGTAATCGAAACAATGTATAACTCCAGCTCTGAGATCCCAGCTCGCTGAAAGCTGGTTTCTGGGTGTTTTTTTTGTTAAAATGTTTCAAACTGCCAGCTCAGAGGCCTGCAGTGGCAGGCGGGGAATGTTGGAGTCCTCCGTCATTGAAGCAAGCAAGCCTCATGTTAGTTTCAAGCTGCCTGGCTACCAGCCGCCATCTTGACTGACAGTTAATTTGCATATCTTGCTGATTAGCCAATGGGAAGGGTAGCGGTCGTACGCCAATTACCATGTTTCTCTTTTAATAG